ATTGAAGTGGATGCCCCTTGAACATGAACTCATAAGTGAAATAAACCAGACTCACATGTGTAAATAGCATATATTTTGCCTATTATAAGAACTCAAGGAAGACATACAAATAGAAAGTTATAATAGAAGTAAAAGGAAGGCAGGATCTCAAGGACTAACTAATCAAGAGAGGGAAAGGAGAAGAGCTAGGAAACATGAATAAGTCAAACCATACATTTATATGTAGAAGATGGGCTAAGGCAACAATCCTGAGAATCTCGAGAAGATTTTTGAATCTACCAGTTAACTGGAAAAGTTCTAACCCTTACTAACTATATATACTGATACCTGTGAACTAAGCTACTGCACTACATATGGCAATTTGTAATAGTAGTTTCATGCTTGGAGAGCCTGTCATTCTGGTCTTCTGAATATGGACTGCTTGTCATGACATGTCAGTTGCTGCTATGATGTCTCTTGGGTAGATGGGTAGATGTTCAAAAAGTAGGGGGTGGTGAATGAAAACAAGAGACAGGAAAACGAATATTGTGGGACTGTCCTGCTTCGAGGTTGTATATGGTGAGATTTTTGCACTTATGTGTAAACATAAGAAGTTTATAATTCATTATGCTTATTTTTAAAATATATTCTAATTTTTCAATGTTTTTATCATATTCTGTAGGGACTTAAAGTTCAACATATCAATACTTGATGAAAAATACCTGTTCCATATTATGCCTAAAATGTTTGATATGCAGACAGATAGTGAGGTTAAGCTTAACAGCCTAAATTGTATGATAATAACAACAAGCTTGTCTTCTGGATGGTTAACAACCTAAGTTTGCAGACCAAAATTAGAGAAAAAGGAGGGCTACAAGGAAAGGCAACATTTTGACCCTAGCCTTCTAAGGTCAATTAAGACTCAGGACCTATGAGAACTTTTACTATAGCATCATGTAACTCAGTAGTGTCCCAAATTTTCTGATCAAGGAGATTATGGGGCCAAAGGGGAAAGTGATCAATGATGTAGAGTGTGCCTAAGGAGAGTCACATGGAGAGAAAACATTCTCTCAAACTTTCACAGAGAGTAAATTAGCCTAGCAATGGCCGTGACTCATCCTCATGGCTGACACTGACAAAGGTTCTACAATCTTAGGTACAGGATCTCAGGATAAATCCCGAGGGTATTTCACTGAGTTTATCAGACCCAAAAGCTACAACTCTTGTGGCATAGGTCCTGCTTTACCTTGTTCTTAACCATCCAGCTGAAATGTATAAAAACAAAATATAAGAAGTAAAGCCATGGTGCTATGTTGAGCTGTAGGGGACTCAACAATTTCTGACATTGCCAGTCAAGCAGAAGACCTAATACTATTTTGGGTTACTGAACTCTTTTAGAATATTTTGCTGAGTTTACACACCTATAATATTCTAATAATGAGACTTAACAAAAAAGGGAATACAGTTGAATGTCCATTTTGTATCTGTGTATTCAAAATTGTTAGGATAGATATATAGTTATATTCTCTTAATGAATAGAGTGATTTGTTCTAATGGTGTCAGCATATCATGTCTGCAACTTGTACAGCAATTAACCACTAGGAATAATGTTTGCAATGTGTTAATTATTGAAACTGTCCAACGAATTTGATTTGAAACTGCCTCATTGCTATTTGTTTATCAATATAATTATGTGAAAAAATAAAAAAATAAAATAAAGCATATCTTTTTTCATCCATTCCTCAGGTGACATCATGTTGTTTGCTCCAAACATTGCCTATCACAAATTGTGCTGCTATAAACGTAAGTGCACATATATCACTATGATATGATGTTTTCCGTTCTTTTGGTAAAATTCCCAGAAGAGGATAGCTGAATTGAGTGGGATTTCCAATCCTAGTGATTTAAGGATTATGCACACTGATTTCCATAATGGTTTCACCAGTCTACAGTCTCACCAGCAGTGGAGAAGAGATCCTAATTCCCCACATTCTCTCCAGCATTTGTTGTTGGTAGATTACTTGATGATAGCCATTCTTTCTGTGGTGAGATGGTATCTCAGTGTTTTTTAATTTGCATTTCATGGATAACTAGTGAAGTGGAACATTTTTTCATATATTTATTTGCTTCTTGAATTTCATTCTATGAGAAGCTTTTGTTCATCTCGGTTGCCCATTTCTGGACTGGGTCTTTAAATTTTGAAGTCCTAATATTTTTTATTTTTTTTATAAATTGCAGAAAGAAGACTTTTGTCTGAGGACTTAGCAATTAAGATATTTTTTCTCAATTTGTGGGGTGTCTTTTGACTCTGTTGCTAATTGCTTTTGACGTGCAAAACTTGTAAATATGAGGAGGTCCCAGTTGTTAATGCTTTCATGTATTACCAGTGCAGTTTGATTTTCGCTCATGAACTCTTTTGCTACCCCCAGGTCTTCAAGAGTTCCTCCTACTTTCTCTTCTAGGAGATTGACTGTTTCTGTTTTAATGTTTAGGTCTTTAATCTGTTTTGGCTTTAGTTTAGTGCATGATGAAAGAACAAAGAGAGGGCAACGAAAACAGCTGGTAAACATGGCAGAGGCAAAACCATATATTTGTGTACACAAGCTGCTTATTGCAGTGATCTTGAGAATCTCCATCAGGTTTTTGAAACTAACAGTTATTTGGTAAGATTCTCACCGTGACTAACTATGTATTCTGATACCTGTGAACTAAGTAAATACACCAATGATAGCAATGAGTAGTAATAGGGCCATACTGGGAAGGCCTGTCATTCTTGTCTTCTAAATGTGTAGTGTTTTAATATCCTATCAATTACTGCTATACTCTCCATCAAGTAAGTGACTGTTTTTAAAATAAGTTAACTACTATGAAGACAAAAATATGCAATGTATTAATTATTGCAACTGCCCTACTAACCTTTTTGGAGACTGTCTTATTGTTATTTGTTTCTCAATAAAATTAAATTAAAATTTAAATAAAATAAAAATAAATAAGTTAATAAAAGTAAGCAAGAAAGAAGAAAAATGTCAAAAGACTGTCCTCGTACATTGCTGTATATGGATAGATTTCTAAATTTCTGTGTGAAAATGTGTAATTGCTTACTTCTTTTTTCACATTCTATAGAGATTCAAAGTTTAACATATCAATGATTCGTGGAAAATACTTGTTCCATGTTATGTCTAAGGCATTTGATATTTAGACAAATAGTGATGTGAAGTTCTACTGCCTATATTGTAGGGTAATAATATCATTAATCATTTCTTCTAGAGGGTCACCAACTTAAGTTTGCAGATGAAAAACTTAGAGAAAAAAAAAAGTTCTACTAGGATAGCCAACACTTTGTCCCTAGCCCTTCAAGGTCAGTGAGCACTCAGGATGTAAGAGAACCTGTAACATAACAACCTGTAAGTCAGTGGTGTCCCAAATTTTCTTTTCAAGATTATAGGGGCACAGAGGAAAGTGACTGATGATGTAGAGTGTGCCTAAGAAAAGTCACCTAGAAAGAAAATATTCACAGTTTTACAGAGAGCAAATTTGTGAAGCAATGGCTGTAACTTATTCACATGGCTGACACGGGCAAACGATATACCTACTGCTGTACAGGGCTTCAGACTAAATCCTGAGGGGGTTTGACTGACCTTGTCAAATACAAAAGTTACACTTTTTGTTATATAGGTCTTGCTTTATCTTGGTCTTAATCATCCAGAAGAAAAATATAAAAACGAGGTTTAAGAAGTAAAACCACATTAATATGATTAGCCTTAAAAGCTTAAGTCAACAATTTCTGACATTGCCATTTCTGTGGATAATACACTGCTATTATGGACTACTGGACTCTTGGATCATTTTGCTAAATTCATACACCTACAATATTTGAATTGCAATGGAATTCCCATATCTGACAAAAATAAGCAAGAAAATGGTGATATAAATGCAAGACCATTTTGTAGTGAGGAAAAAATTCTATCTATCTATATCTATCTATCCATATATATCCGTATATCTTTTCCCTTCCTTTTTTCTTAGTTTTCTTCTCTTCCTCTCCAAGTTGTTCTTTGCCTTTGAATAGTTTCTTTCCCTTTCATAGAATCTATTGTAGCATTCAGATTTTACTTACTCTTTCAGATTCTTACACTATGGGGGCAATATGATGTTTACACATGTGGGTCTGATTTATTTCACTTATGAGTATGGTCTCTAGTTGCATTCATTTACATATAAAAGCCTCAAATTTATCTTTCTA